TGTTGATTTTTACGGAGGGAGGAAACCGGAGAACCCGAAGAAAACCTTCGTAGTATAGGAAAGAACAATACATCAAACAAACTCAATTCACATGTGGCGACCGCAGGACTCGAACCAGCGATCCAACCCGTTGGACTCACGTTTACCCAAACAAAAAAAACAAAGAGAATTACGAATAAAAAATTTAGTTGTATGGGTAACATCTTAAATACCTACCTTGCTTTTGACGGCCAGTCAGAGCCACAGTCGATAAATCTACAGCACCAATCTCCGCAAGACAGTTTGCTATCTCGGCCTTTACATCTTGAGCGGTGCTGGTAACGACTGAGCTTAACGAGGTTGATAGATGCAAGAGTTCGTGCACAAGATCGGGAACGGGATTTCCCAAAGAACTTGCGACATCTAAAATACAACGAAAGTTTATCCCCCTGGCTTTCTAGCTTATGCCAAAAACGAAAACATGGAATATATCTTTTAATCTATATTTATTTTACATCGTGATTCATGTATTGGGGCGCAACCACATGACTCGAAACCGAGAGAAGCTAATGAGATATGCTTTGTTATCGTTAACCAACATGACTGCTATGACGCTACATGTACCCCAAGAATATGCCATTTCATTTAATGTTTGAAGCACACAGCACATGGAACAAATTCTTATCACATGTGGCGTCCGCAGGAATCAAGACTACGTTTTGACCCGAAGAACTCACCTTGGTCACCTTGGCCACAGTGAAAAGCTACGTTTTTTACCGCTACGCAACCCTTCAACAGACAAATGCTCGTGCATTGAACTCTACCAGTACATTAAAACTAGTTATACATTTAGTATTCACGCTAACAAATATATAAGGATCGAGTGCACAGCTTCATAGGAATGGGCCATTTTCACTTGGCAGCCATGGTGGTTTAAACAATAGATTCCACCAGTAAAATCGCATTTAATTACTTGAGAATAAATTTATGCGGGTTAAACAAATATTATTATTCTCATAAGAATAAACATGGCCTCATGTGATAGAGGTCCGTCCATACGGAGCACCCTTAAAAGTTCTGAGTGGTCTCCTTAGCAGGAGTTTTTGCCTTGCTCAATTACCCTGCAGGGGAAGGAGACGAAATAGTGGGGCTGAGATTTGAAACTTTAGCGGATGGTTACTCCCCACAACTAGCCCCCACCCCACTTCTTCGTGGTCCCGGGTTTCCCTTATCTCTTTCCGTACCTTTATTCTCCTCTAGTAGCCGATACAGCTCGTGCTTCTCGTTAACTAGTCTCTTCTTCAAGTGCTTTAGTCCTTCCAGTCGACTCAGTGGTGGAGTGTTTATCGACACAAAGTGGCTTATTTCCTGTGAAAAAAAACCCTCAAGATCGAGTCCAGTTTTTTCATCCTCCTCCTGACTTCAGAAGAGTTTGGTTCCATCAGATGGCTAACTCTAGGCTAAATATAGCTCGCGCTGATTATTTTTGTAACATCATRTTCGGCGGCCATCTTGGATCGCAAGGTACTATGGGGCATCCAGGGGAAAAATAAAGCTTTGCTACAGTAATAACGTCGATTGATATTAACAGCTCACCACAAGAGAATACAGCAAAAGATGAATTAAGACGGCACATYGATCATCTTAACCCAGAAAAGAAAGACAAACACACGAAACTCTATATATTTTCCGTCTTTGTTTTGTTTTGCCCCCTGGCAAAATGGCCGCCATACAGCATTGTCGAAGAAGTCCATTGACTGTTGATGTATCTGATTACACAACTACCATGTGCGGTCATATCACGTGATTTACCTGAGCCAGTGACGTCCTTTTTCCTTCCATAAGAGATTTGTGCGCGTCGCTAATTTCCTGGAACTGAGGGAGATCTGGGAATGGATCGAGCTGAGCGATGGATTCGTCAAGAGAAGAGCTGCTCTCTATGATGAGGAAGGAGAGCAGTCCTAGAGCCTGTAATAATTGAGCAAAAGACTGTAACTAAAGGGATGGGAAAGGATTGTACGGTGAAAGCACCACAGTCAGCTCGCTTGTTTGAATCAAATGCTTTATGAATGGATTCTGGTATGGGAATCAAAACGAGCAATGCTATAATAGTCCAGTCGGTAAATATCGTTTTGCTTTATGACTGGACTCATATGCACAGGCTTAGCCTCGCTTAAAAGAAAATTGTGTGCAAAAAGTCAACTGTAATGTAAAGAATGTGCAGCTTGAACGATACCAATGTTTTGAAATCCCACGGGCTTTTAATGGTATCTGTGAATAGCTGACTTATAAACGAGGCTAAGCCTGTGCAAATGAGTCTGTGGTCTTCAAAAGCAACCATCACCATCATCACCATCACCCACATCGCCATCATCATCACCACCATCATCATCATCACCATCATTACCATCATCATCATCCTCACTACCATTATCATCATCACCATCACCATCCTCATCATCATAATCCATATCATAAACACCTCCTTCAGTCATCAGCATAATGACCGTCTTGACATGCTCGGTTCGCAATCACTCGCTTACTAACCTCTTGTGCTTTGCCGTCTTGTCTTTTGGCATAGGGTACCAACATACTGACTATGACATGGAGGTGGTTATCCAACTCCTTGTGATAAAAACACAACAAAGGGGTCACGGGGTTTTCTCTAGTTATTCTAAATTCCAACTGGCTTCAGTGGACGAAGAACGACTGCCAAAAAAATCATTAATCCTCATTTATAGTTTTATTGCATAGTAACTATTATATTCCTTTAAAAAATCAAGACACTGTCACTGGTTTCAGTGGACGAAGAGGACTGCCAAAAAACTCATTAATCCTCATTTATAGTTTTATTGCATAGTAACTATTCAGGGCCGTAGCCACCAACTTTCGATTGGTTCGGTTTTCGGTACTTTTTCTTGACTCGTTCTCGTTCTCGTTTTAATCATTTTTAAAAATATGTTTTTCAATGATTTTTCTCTTTTTCTCTTTTTTTTTTTTTTT